TGCAACATATTGACTGAGTTCCTTCGGTTGTAGCACACGATACACGCTGCAACGCGGGGGGTGAGGTATTTGCGCAATAGTTGATTATAACGGAGATGGCAAATATCAATATATAACTCAACCTGCAATGAAACAGCCAACTAGTGTGGCTATATATAAGTTTATTAAGGGGGTTCCTGACTAATAGCGAACTGGTCGGAAAAGAAGGAAACCTTTCCAGAAATTAAAAGAAAAAAAAATGGTTAAAACAAGAAAAAATCTTCACTACGGCTGCACCGAAGCTGTAGCATCCTCCACAGGCGCATTTTGTTTAGCAACTATATGTATTCGCCTAACGATTTGCATTCAACGAAAAACGTTTTGCTGCTATAAAAGCGCCTCATTATTTGACATAAACAACCCCCTCAGATCGAAGTGAGGTTACTTAACAAGAAAAAAGACCTTTTATGAAGATATATACCTTGATTTTGATAGGTCATTTTATATGACAGCTGTATGCTATAGTTCAGATCGAAGAACAGTATGTATATGTGTAGTGTTGCCCTGGGCAATAAACCCTGCAAAGTTTCGTGAAGATTTTCAAATTAAAAAGTTTTCACCACAAGAACTTGATTTTGATCTGTCAATTTGTATGGCAACTACATATATGCTATAGCGGTCGATATCAGCAGTTGCAGTTGTCGGAAGTAGTTTCTTGGGGAGAAAAGAGCGTATGCAAGATTTCAGAGCGATATCTCAAAAACAGAGGGACTAGTCGCGTATATACAGATGGGCAAACAGGGCTAATTCAACTAAACTCCGCGCGCTGATAGGTTACATATATATATATATATATATATACATATAATTTATAGGGTTCCCGACGTTTCCTTCTGGGTGTTACAAACTTCGTGGCAAACTTGATATACCCTATTTAGAGTATAAAAAGCGTAATCTAGCTAATCAGTAAAGAACAGATAATCTGAATAAAACAACATTAGAATTGTTCCTAAGAACATAAATTCAACTGGACAGTTTTGAACTAGTTTGAAAAAACATGAAAATTAAGATCTTGTAATATATAAGTATATAAGGACTCAATTGTTAGATTGGAAAACTTCCGAAAAACCAGTTTCTAGTGGTTTACGAGTATAATAGTAAGGTAGTTTCGAACTATACGATTTAACAACAAGTCCATATCGCACATATTAGTATATCGATGTTGGTGCTTGTTGCTCGTCAATGTGTTTTTTTATCTAATTTTCCAGTAGATATGGATGCGTTTATAAATCCAAATATTAATATATGTTTCATACGCCTTTGTATTAAATTCAGATAAATAAGTATCTACAAAAATTTTAGAATTCGATACTAGACCACAATCAAACATAACATTTTAAAAAAGTTTAATGCTTGTGCAAAAGTAATTTCCAGTCTACCTTTACGTCGGAGAATAAGAATTTATTCCAAATTTACCACTTCTTCGGTTAAAAGTGTGTATTATGGAGAAAATGAATTGAGAAAAAGTACAGAAAATGCATATACAAGTAGATCGTTCGATGTACAGGATCTATCAAAAAGATAACTGTATGCCATTTATGTTTTGAACAAAATTTCGGCCAAATGGGTTCCACGGCTCCGTTTGCATACTTCCACCCACTTAAATAACGTCAATTTCCGATGATCCGGTGCAGCATTTCGGCTGGATTTACGGTTATATTGCCCTGAATGTGGCTTGGAACTCCTGGAGCGTAGCTAGTTGATTGGCGTAAACCTTTGATTTAACATACCCCCAGAGAAAAAATTTAGAGGCTTTAAATCGCATGATCTTGCCGGCTATTTGACTGGGCCATTTCTTAAAATTATCGAGACGCCATCCTTTGCACGCAATGTTTCCATTTTTTGACGTGAAACTTGTGGGGGTTTACCGTCTTGTTGCCCGATGATGCCGTCATACTATAATTCGAACTAAACGGTAAATTTTTATGGATGCAATTGCGTTTTCTGAACCACACGAGCATTTTAATCACCCCAATGCGACAATTTTGTTTTTTGATGAAGCCATTAAGCCAGAAATGGGCCTCATCTGAGAAGCCAAGCGTTGCAACAGAGTGAAACGTGACATGACAGACGTAACACACTGACAAATTTGACACAAGCCCATAAACAAACATGGTCGCCAAGAGCTGTCAAAATCAAGTCATCCTCATTGGTAGAGGCTGCTCGCTATTATAGAAGATATAATTGACGCCACACTGCTCCATTCTCTTGAAGTGAATGCTAAGAATACAACTATTCTGTGAAAGAAGAAGAAGAAGAAGAAGTTCTTATGAACGTCATTGCCGATTTGACCCAATTGCTATGAATTGTTAGCTGTCTTCGATTCGTCATTTCTCTGCTTTTTTGTCAAAAATTTACATATAAAAGCAACAACAAAGTTATCGACTTGAATTTGTACAGGAGAGAATACGGATACCTCATAAAGTGGTATATCCGCTATATTCTAAACTACCAAGTTTTGGTTTGCATATTTTAGATCAGTTTTTCTTTTGTGAATGGTTAAAATGAAATGAAAAACAAATTTATTTTCTTTATTTTTAAATTTTATAACTTTAAATCAATTATAGTATTTTATAGACAACAAAAATTAATTAATTATTATCAACGGTTTTTAACGCCAAAAAAAGTATTTCTGCACTAAGAAAGAATCATAACACTATTGTGCATGTGTCAGAGGACAAGCGCAGGGTGTCCGTTTGTTTGGAGAGTAGCCATAATGTTAAAAAATAATGAACTGCTCGTTATTTTATATATGTATTATAATATATCAACTGTAATGACTATATTAGGCGCCACTATCGTTATTAGGTCATAAACATACAAGGATCCTGTCACATTGCTTAAGCCTAAAGCTTTCCACTTCACTTGTATTTGCTATGCCCCAAGTGACCTAACCACAATTACCGAATCTACAATTCATACCATTCGATAAAAATATCTCGAATACTTATTACGCTTATAAACAACACTTTTACAAGTCAAAATAAAAGCAAATTGAGACAAATATCGACAATATAGTCGCGAAAGGCACGCGCTAGTCACACTAACTCGCTTACTTAGTCGCTTACTCAATGATGCATGGCAGTTAAAAGGAAATAATAAACAAGCAAGTACATAAAAGTGGCAACAGCTATGAATATTACCAACATCAGCGACATCATTACCACCTATTGTCAATGAGCAACGGTATGCACACCTTGCACAGAACAACAACAACACAAACCAAGTGCAAGTTGGAGGCAGCAACCATAGAGACAAAAACGAGCATCCAAAGCCGGCGAAATTCCCAAGGGTAAACGCATGACTCGGCGAAAGATGAATGGAAGATGGCACAACGGATGGCAGCAATTGAGGTGGAAAGTCTGCATGGATGCTGCCAATACGACAGATATTACTAATGTATCGTTTGCAGTAATGTATCAGTTGTTCTTGTTTTTGTTTGTTCTTTATTCTTGTTATTTTCTCCCCCGCCATAGCACTGATTGCTGTTGCAACTGTTGCTGCTCCTTCAATGCGATTTTTTCTTTTGCTTCTTCTAGCCTTTCGCCGTATCCAGGTTAAATAACAAATTTTCATATTTCTCATGCACAATAATTTTTTTGTTTTTTTTGCTTTTCTTCTTCTTGTTTTTTTAGTCAGCAAGCCGCATGTGTGTTACTCTATAGATTTACTCATTGACCTTACTGCAGAAGTAAGTTGAATAAAGATATGCGAGACGGTATACGCATACTATGTGCATTAGGGTGAGCCAACAACAAGCCTATATTCAGTGCTCACCGACATCTTTTCCAACTAACATAAAAATATTTCCATGCAAGGATATTTTTAAACCCTGAACTGGGTATATGGTATTAAGTTTGCACCAAGCTTGTAACACTCCGCAGGAAACGTCGGAGATCATACAAAATATATATGAGTATATGAATGATCATCATGATAAGCTGAGTCGATTTAGCCACGTCCATCTGTCTGTATATACACGAACACGTTCTTGTATGAAACCCTTGTTTATTTGACGAGATATTGACGAAATTTGGCTATAATCTACGAACAAATTAATCAGATAGGAGCACTATAGCATATAGCTGCCATACAAACTGACCGGTTAAAATCAAAATAAAGATATTTTATAATAACTTCGTTATAACAAATTCGCCTGTGAAGGGTATTTTAGCTTCAGTGCAACCGAAGTGAACGGGTTTTCCTGTTTTCTTTGCATATTCAGTAAATTTTAATACAAGAACCCTAGAGTTAGTTTTTGACTCACCCTAATGTACATATGCATATATGATAACAGAATAAAGTAGATGATAACGTAAGCATGAGACAACGAGCCTTAATAAAATACTCGCAGCAGCCGGCAAACAAGCAACTTGACAGCGGCTCACAAGAGGCTTGTGAATTAAGTGCGAAAAAGAAACGGGCACATCCGGTTGTCGTTGTTGGTCGTTGCACTGTATGCGAAATATTTTCATTTCCCCAAGTAATATCTCACATATATGTACCATACACACATCCATACATATGTGTTCACCGTCAGCAAAAGGTGGTTTACTTGGGGGAACCTCGAGCTTAAAGCCATAAGTGCCTGAACAGCCAGCGGTTCAGTTGCTCGCCGCAAGCCGTTTCCTTCTTGGTAACTGCTCTAAATTTTCATAGCAATGCATTTTTATACAATTTTCTTTCATTTGAAAAGTTTTATATAACGGCCACTCAAATGCGCCGCTCACATACGGCCCATTCTTGGAAGGGCAATAATCGTTGCGATGCAATGCAGGAAAATTACCACAAAGAAGAACTTTGTGAAAACATAAGTATGCTCATGAAATGTAGTTAAACCCGCAAAAGTGTCAGTTTCAAAGAAAGGTGGGTGAAGTACAATAATATTAAAAAATGACCTTGTTTTATTTTTGGCAAAGTGGAACTTTAATTTGATTTATAGCAAGTAAAACTTTTTAAATAGGGTGCCATGCATTCATGAGGAAGTCACAGTACGAAAACTGTCACATTTTATTTTTTATTTTTACGTTTATCGGCCTCCTAGCAATTTAAACAATTTCGAGAAAATAAATCAAGTCAGGCTTCTGGTGCCAAAATAAACTAACAAGAAACTACATATTTGGAATTAAGCAGCTGAAGCCTCTAAACTGTAGTTAAGCATGTGACCTTACTCTCTCTGGCCTGTTTAATGAGGTTTTTCGTGATGTATTTTTTTTTTTGAAAGTACATTTTAATTTAGTAATAAATAAATAAAAATAATGCACACTTACAGAATTTATTGTACTTGCCCTCAATCCCTTGCCCGATCTACAGGTGGACATCCGACCACCGGCGTCTGGCGGTAAGGAATATCATCTTTTTACAATTCAGCGTGGCTTAAAAAATTTAAAAAAGTACCCTAATTATGTTATCTTTGTAACCTTCGAACTATCAAATATATATCAGTATACATATCAAAAGCGGATAAATTATGTAAGTAGTTTTTATACTAAATAATGAATTCATGAATTTCAATATGAAACACTTCTAATCTACTACTTCAAGAGTAATGCTTGTACAAATAGGCTAGGGAAAATTGTAAGAGTTTCAAACAAAACTTAACCCCAAAAGTGTAAATTAAATGGTGATAAACTAACTACACACTGAATACCATTTTTCTATTAAAAAAAAAGCTAAATTAAATAATAATATATTTTATAATTAGTTCTATAGCTATTTGTGTACAGTTTTCCAAGATCTGGCGTATTTAGATTATTATTCCATTGTTCCAATATTCTGAATATGCGTTAGAAAACAGTAAGAAGAGCTGGCTAAATTTTTGGGAGTCGCTCAAGAATCCATTTCAAAACGCTTAATAGATAGGAAAATGTTCCAGGTTTAGACAGGTAATACTACTATTATACATGTTTTTCTTAAACGAAGTTTGAAAAAAAAATTGCACGAATATGGTTATATACCCAATATACTTGAACTTGTTCCTAAAAAAATAGGGGTTTAGATTCTAATTAATTACATCCATTAAAAATTACTAAATTCCTCAAACTTCAAAATGTGAAGTTCAGCTATAGGGCTCATGTTTGGAGACGATTTGTTTTACCATAAAATAGAAACATTTGAGAGGATAAAAGTTTAAACAAATATAAAGAATGTTTTTGAACCAGCCTAATATACACACATACGTATATACATATGTATGCATATAATTATTAACATGAACATATGATGTGAATAAATATATCTGTATATACATATGTTTGTACATTTATGCAATGCTAAATGTCTAAAATATTAAAACACATTTTCCACATTACATCATCTAATATTAAACAATTGAAACATATGAACATCTGTATGTACAATATATAAATAAAATTTACGCCTACGTTTTCTTCCTTAAAAGTCAATGGCAAATTTATATGACCAAATAAAACGGCGAAACACTTTAAAAGTTGTCATATATGTTTGTATGTATGCACAATATTTATAAAATGTATATACCATATATTGTATAGGTACAATTATACATACACACATACATCTGCATATGCAGATAAAGTTTTTAATTTTGATAATGTCAAATAAAGTTTCCAATTTATCAGTGATTTGGTTTGTATTAAATAAAAATTCATTTATACTATGTACCCAGCTTGTAAAACAAACAAAAAATAAGCACATATCTACATACACACACATCTATATAAACAAAGAATTGTGAGTGCTGATTGTAAGAACGTTTGCCAACATGCATAGTGCTTTGCTTATTTGGCGCACATCTTTTGTGTGGGGGATATAGCTCAGTGGTAGAGCATTCGACTGCAGATCGAGAGGTCCCCGGTTCAAACCCGGGTGTCCCCTTAATAAAATTTTTGTTTCGTATTTATTTGTAAGGAACGTTTTTTTTTGTCTATTAAATAAAGTAATATATAAAACGCAAAATAAAATATTTTAGATAAATATGTTAGCAACAAATTGTGTTTTTGTTGTTTTAAAATGAAATAATTCAAAAAGCACAAAAAATAGATTAATAGCTAAATGTAGAAAATTCATTAGACACAAATATCTACGTTACTATTCGAAAAACTTTCAATTTGGTTTTTTTAGGCGAATTAGGAGACTTTTTTTTATAAAAAAACATTGATATATCTAAAAATAATTATAAGAGTTATCAAATTGAAAAGTATATAAAATATAATTCCCTGTTGGGAATAAAAAAAATTTAGCTTTTGCGTTTTGAAATAAATATTTTTGTTCAAAAACACAAGAAGTTGGAATTTCCTATGAATATTACAGATACATATTTTAAAATCTGTGTACTCGTACTATTGATTTAGAGTTTAGTATGAAAACGCACAACATACTTGTAGGAATCATTTACACAAAAGTATAGATATTAAAGTCTTATGGACATATGTATTTTAAAATTATAACGTGAAGAGTTAAACTTAAATGTTTCAAAAAAACAAAAAAAAAAAAAAATTGCCCCAACGCTATATGACAAAGTTGCCTAAGAGTAGGCATTGAACTTTTATCAGAATAAAATATATAATACTTTAAAAACAAAAATCGGGTATGACTGCGGAAATGTAACTTCTTGTTTCTTCCACACTTAAAGCAACTAAGAGAAATAAAAGCAAAAATAAATAAATAAAGTAAAACAAATAAGAAAGGGTTAAGTTCGTCTATAACCGAACATTTTATACTCTCGCAAGGTAAACTGAAGGGACTTTCGTATATTTTTAAATTAAAGTAGGCAGTATTGGATCCACTATTGGCAACCACATGCAATAGGATACACTGTTATTAGAAAGATATTATTTCAGAATTTCAATAAGATTTCTTGCATATTGACCGATAAATATATCTGTATACTGTAAAGTGAAAGAATAAGATGGACTTTAAAAATTTGGTGATTGAAATTGGTCAAATAGTTTTTGAGATATCGGATTTCACTTAAAAGTAGGCGGTGACACGCCCATTATCCAACTTTTACACCGGCACCCTTAAAGCCCTTCCCTGCTTGCGGCCCTTTTATACAGTGAGTTATTGCACTTTTAGTAATTTTTAAGATAACCGTTATATGGGGAGTGGAGTATTTTCCCCATTTTCACAGTGTATAAAGAAGTGCTCAAAGAGTTTCTTCTCAGCAAGTTTAGTTGAGTTAGCTTTATTTGTTTGGAACATATGTACATTTAGATTAGAGGGGGGGGGGGCACGCCCACTTCAGTTTGACAGTTTTGCATCCTAATTTAGTGCTTAGTTATGACATTTTATAGGTTTTCGTTTAATGGCGTTTTGTGGGCGTGGCAGTGGTCCGATTACGCCCGCATATCTGCAATACTAACCCTCCTTGGGTGTCACGGAACATATGTACCAAGTTTCATCAAGATATCTCAATTTTTACTCAAGCTATCGCTTGCACGGACATACCGACGGATTAGACAGACAGTTACCCGGATTTCAACTCGTCTCGTCACTCTGATTATTTATACATACATAACCCTATATGTAACTCAATTATTTTTAGGGGATACAAACAACCGTTAGGTGAACAAAATGTTGCGATAGTTGAGATAGTCAAAATGTAACATCCGTCCTTTTCCATTATAATCTGTTCAACTACTAACATACGTAGGTATGTATTTTCTCTCCAGCGTGGGCTTATGAAAATGAGTACGTAGCATAACAGGTTTTGATGTTCAAATGAAAACGAAAATTTGAAATTAATTGCAATCAGCTGCAAAAAGTAACGAGTGTCTATTTCTGGCACAATTTCGTGGTAATATGATTTCGTTGCCATGAGAGAAAAACAATTTTTTTCTAATTAGTTATGTGACAAGGAGAGTCAAAATATGATAAAAATTATCACTTGGCCATATAAATTAAACACTTTTATTTAATTCAAAAAATATTTCTAATAATGTTTTTCCTCAATATATGTAATTACATAGCCTTCAGGATGGCTTACAACAAAAATTTGCTTAGAAAAAAGTTTGTCAATATTTGAAAAAAAAATCTAAAGTAACATATAGATAAGAGAAACACCATAATATATTATATAATACATATTTAATAAGCCCTATTGTGGATAAAATGTTGAGAGCGAAAAGGTGGTGTCACCTGCTTTTTTTATTTTATTTCTTTTTCTTGTGTGATAACTTTCGAAAAATCGAATCGAATATTTTCCGCTTAAGCATATTTTCCTCCAAGCGGTACTCTTAAATTGTGCTCTAGACAACCTTTTGCATTTGCCATACTTAATGGTATTTGCTTACGTACAATGACCCGTGACGTCACAGGCCGGGTCGTTTATTTTGAGAAACCATTAGCAATATTAGCAAGCAAATTACCACAAAAAAGAAAACCTCAGTCACAAGCGTAGGAGCTGACCAACGTCAGATGGACGAAAGAATTTCTAGGAAAAGTGGAAATGCAAATAAAATGTGAACGTAAAAATATCACCAAACAAGCGCAGAAAAAAAGGTAACCACAACCACACTTTAGGTACAATTTTATGAATAAATTTCATATTTTATACTTCGCCTTTTGCGCACTTCGTTTTTACACAATTTTCAATAAATATTTAAGTAATCACAACATGAAATGCGCCATTCAACCATAAAATATTACATATTTACTTGCGACCGTTTGAATAAAGGTGCAGCAACGGCGGCATGTCTACGTTGATGGACCCCAAAATGCTTTCGTTGCGGTTGTCTTAGTATCTTAGTGCCTTGACGCCTAAGTTGGCCAAAATTATCAGGCATTTTCAGGTTGAGTGAGATGCTACAAAGTTTGCACTTGTTGACTTGTGTAACGGGTGCAAAGAGGTGTGCTGTTTGCGGTGAGGGATGGGTAAGTGAGTTATAGGCTTGATTTTGAGTTGGTTGCGCGCAAGTGCTTTTAAGCTTTCGCGCCACATAAAATGTCTGCAGACGGCTTTTTTTCGCTCTCATTAACAAGTCGTTATGCTGACATCACGGCAGAGTGCACAAGACGCGCAAACATACACAAATACACAGATAAACAAATACACCAAGAAACAAGCGTAGAAGAAAGCGCCAGCGCCAAGAAGGGCGCTATGTTAGCAGTCAGCTTCAGGTTGGTGCTTCAATCACGAGCAATTTTTGGCACATTCGATACACACTTATAAACATAAATGTATATATACTAATTTTGAGTGCGCCAAATTTTCAAGAAATAAATGGAGTTTACACGAAATTCATAGTGCTTTGTTATAGATACACACACACACAACTATCTACTGATTCGATCAGCACACACTTTGAGCCAATCAAGAAGATGTATAAACAGTAGTGAAAGAAAAGCAGAAGTAGATGGCACTTGTGCATGAGTTGACAGCGAATTGCCATTAGTTTTAACGGTAGTGGCACGAAGCTGAAAGCAGCAAACTAAAAACTTGTATAATAATATTACCAATACTCCACTTTACTCCTTCGAAACTTCCGTTTTT